GTGAGCCATAACTATTGAGTCTGCGCTCTAGAGCCCGCGTGCCACAACTAGTGAGCCCATGTGCCACAACTACTGAAGCCCATGCGCCTAGAGCCCATGTTCTGCAACAAGAGAAGCCACCGCAATGAGAAGCCCTGGCGCCACAACAAAGAGTAGCCCTGCTCATCGCAACTAGAGAAAGCCCGCGCACAGCAGCAAAGACCCAACGCAGCCAAAAATAAATAAATAAATTTATAAAAAACAAATGGGGTTTCCATTTGTCATTTGTGTGTATGAATTTAATGGAGACCAAAATTCCATCAACAAAGGGGCACTTACTACAATGGACTCATAAACATAGTTATTAAAAATAGTGTGGGTATATAGTAGTTTCTCCGTGACTTGAAAAATATCAGTCATACATATGATGAGAAATAGGTCTGTTCCCTGGATAGGAAATATAGAAAGTGTGACTTTGTCACTTAATAATCACGTGGACTTGGGAGAATTGATCAACTTACATGAGCCTTAAATTCCTCACTGGAAAAAACATAGTGATTAATCATTGTTCTGCCTACTACATAGTATGGGTATTTTGAAAACTACAAAGCATTACGTATATGTTAGAGATTTATCAGTGTCAGTAAATGATACTGATGTTCAAACGATTCTGATGTTCATAAGAAATGTCTATTTGTATACATCTACTTAGAATTCTTTAATATGTGGCATCATATAGACCAAATATTCTGTATTGATCCTTATGATGTTACAGGATGGGTCAGAAACTTCTCATTTTTCTGATAAGAGTACAAAACGAGGGTGCCGCATGCCTCAACCAGCTGTGAATTAGAAGCTTAGGTGGATTCAACTTCAGGATTCTATTGCATTGCAAATAAGAGCTTTTCCAAGCTTCTGAGACTTACTGTCTTTGAAAGTGGAATTGTCCAAGGGACAGTGAAAACATGAATTGTAGCAGTCAATAGAGGCTCAGAACTGAGATTACCAGCCTAAAACGCACAGTCAGCTATGATGTGATAAGACTTTCAAGAGTATTCCGTATTTTCGTAGCAATATCATCACCTGTCTTTTATATATTATGACAGTGAGGCTCAGTGGTATTCAATGACTTGCCCATGGTCATATAACTGATCAGTGTTAGAGGTGGTACCTGGATTAAGGACATCAGATTAATAGTCTCCTAGTTGTATTTTCATCTCATGCTATAGAGTCCTGAGCCACTGAGCTGGGTTTCCTTTCAAATCATCATAGTTCTCAACTTGGTAATTCCCTAACAAGTCATTTTTTTTTAAGATTTAAAATGATTAGCAAGTAATTTTTGACAGAACGATACATATGTAAGTATACTGGGTTTTTTAAGCAGCACTGCTGGGTGCATTCAAAAAATTACATTCTCATCACCATCAATACCATTATGATTCCTGTCATTAACACTGAATGGATGGATATACCACGGTAGACAAAACCAGATGCTGCCCCTGTCCATTACAAAGCTCACTATCTAAGCAATTAATCATACACATGTGTATGTGCAATGGTGACAAGCTCTTTGAATCAAAGTTGCTGAGTAGTAAGGGAGCCTGTAATAGATAGAGGTGTGCAGGTCAGGAAAGTCCTTCTTGAGAAAATAACACTTGAGAAGAGATTTGAAAAATAAGCTGATGTTAACAAGACAGGATGGGAGGCATGAGCACTCTCTGGGATTAAGCAAGATGGCAAGCACAAGGGACTAAAAACAGGCCGGTATGGATAGAGGAGAAGGAATGAGATGAGTAGCAAATGAGATGAAAGACAATGTAGGCATAGGTCAGACCACGTGGAACTTTTAGATCATGTTAAGTAGTTTTCTTGTTCTACCTAAAGATCAGCGGAAAGACATCACGTTACTCAGAGGGTATGACGTGATCAGATTTTGATTTCTGAACAGTCGTTGTGGATGCAGTGTAATCATGAGGTGGAGGGGGATCTGCTGTTGGCACAGGTAGAGGAGTTGGGTAACTACTGCCGCAGTACGAGCAAGAGATCAGGGTAGCTCAACTAGGGTCATGGAGGCTGAGAGGGAGAGAAGTGGACAGACTTGGTAAATATGTGAGAGAAAATCAATAGAGCTTCGTAGAGAACTGAATATGGTAGGCGATGGAGAGGGAGTCTTAGCGTTGATGCCTTGGCTTTTGGTTGGTGATAATGAAACAGGCACAGCAGAAAAGAAACAGGATTTGAAGGAAGTATTAAAAGTTTGGTTTTGATCTGTGGACTTTGTGGAGCCTTTGAGACATTCAACAGGAATTGTTTAGGATGTGCAGGTCTGGACAGAAATATATATTTGTGTGTCATCTGCATAAAAGGAAAATGCAAGTTACAGATGTGTATAATATTGTCTAAGAGAGTGTAGTATGAGAAGATAAGAGGACCTCGAATACAGACTTTAGAAAATCCAACTTTTCCAAGCCAGGTAGAGGAGGATATGGCTGCCAAGGAGACAAAACAGGAGGCAAGCCAGGAGTGTAGTGTGTCACAGGGTCGAGGGAAGAAAGCCCTTCAAGAGAGCAGAATGGTGGCTCTTAGGGACAGAAGAGAGGGGGAAATGAGGAGCTGCTCATCAGTGGGTATAGTTTCAGTGATGCAAGATGAGTAAGTTCTAGAGATGCACTGTACAATATTGAGCCTATAGTTAACAACATTGTATTTTACACTTAAAAGTCTGTTGAGAGAGTAGATTTCAAGTTAAGTGTTCTTTCCACAATAAAATAAAAATAAATTTAAATAAAAGAAGGGAAAAGAGCTCGATGATGTTAAGTGCCACGTAAATGTCAAGTAAGATGACAACAGCAAAAATATCTTTCGGCCTTAGTTCCAAGGAATTCATTGGCAGACTTAGTGAGATCTGTTTCTGTAGATTGACGGAGCTGGAATCCAAATTGAGGAGAGCTGAGAAGTAAAATGAGGAGGTTACACTAGATCCTCTCTAAAGTTCCTTCCAACTCTAAAATAATACGTGCTTTGATCTCATGCTGCTAGCCAGAGTCTCCCTTTGTCACAGGTTTCCCTACTCACCCTACTCTTGTTTAATAAAAAAACTCTGCTATTGAAAGAAATGACTTGCAAAGACTGTATTACTTTAAGCATCATTACAACCTCAAAAAATTTTAGGACAAATCATTTTCATATACTTTTACATATATATTTTCTCTTTTGGAAAGAATCTTGAGCACAAAAAAATCTTGTATGAGTTTTCCATAGGACCAGTTGAAGAAATATATTTCCAAGAATTGATTTTATTTTTTGGGTCAGGACTGCAGGGATAAAATCAGGTCTAGAGCTTCCATGTGGATGAATTCGGAAGTGAACAGATTCAAAGCTGCAGTCCAGGGATGTCTCACCCTACACCGTACTGTTTTCCTTTTAAATTGAATCACTTTTTCTGGGCTTTGGGAGTTAAGAGAACACTTCCAAAGAATTGATTTTGTATGTAAGCAGAATGCTTGGGCACTGCTGCTTTTCATCTAAAGAAAGGTCCTATATTCTCACTGTCTTGGTGGGATACATTTCTGATAAAAGGGCATACAGACCATTGCTACTTGACGTGTGATCGGTGGACCAGCAGAAACGACCTCAGCTAGGAACTTGTTAGAAATGCAGAATCTCAGGCACCACATCAGACCTACCAGATCAGAATCTGCATTTCAACAAGCTCTTCAGGTGATTTATGTTAAGATTAAAAGGTGAAAGAACACGCATTTTTTTCTCAGAATCTACTTTTTAAAAACATAGAATTCTTTGTTACTCTGGCATAATATTTAAACTTATCCATGGGCATATTAGTCATTTATGGACTGAAAATTAATCATTTTATTTTGTTTTAAAATTAAGATCTGCAGTGGAGTGCCAAGGTGACGAACAAGGTACATTTTACAGACAAAAAGTAGGTTACACACCCAGCTCATGGCAGAACATGCATCTTTCGTTCCCCCTTGCCAGAGCTGATAATTACTTACACTGAACTATCTACCCTTCCTCTTTTTTATTAATAACAACATTTGTAAGTTTAATTTGAAATAGCAAGGTTACCTCTCATGCTTTTGTACAGGATTTATAAACTTTCACTATTTTCTGTCTCTTTAGCCAATTTAGGAGAACATTTACACTTTATTACCTGACTCCTCCCTGGTGATTAACATCTGGAATGGGCAGATGAAACTCCACCCGCAGTCTCACCCTTCCTTGCTCCAGCTCTTCTTACTCCGAGCCCTACTCTCTAACCTTTAACCAGATCAAGTAAAGATTGCTACTGCCCCCTGCCGGCCCATTGTATTCTTCCTCCTCTACAAATCCGTGACTTGAAGAGGATGCCCAAGGATTTTGAGCCGCTGAAGAAAGCTCAGAGAAGGGGCTTTCCCTAGTAAAAAAGTAGAGAGATCCTTTGGGAACCGGCAGCTAAAATCAAACGAAAACACTCAAGGGGCGAGGAAGGTATAAAGGGCTTCTAAATTAAATTATCGATCCTCATGAACCATTCTCCGCATATGGGCTTCTCTATGCCAATGAAATGTCCCCTCCTCTTCAGCACAGGATTTCTCTTTTGCCTCTAGCTTTCACTGATAACGAGTAGACTACCCACTCCCCTATTATAATTTCAGTACTCTAGATCCTGTTCTCTGCTTCGCCCAATTTTCTTTTCCCACGCCTAGACCTTATTTCCCTTCTCTTTTCTGCCTCAAACTCCCGTCCCGCCCACTCACTGACAGACTCGCATTTCCAGGAGCTCAGACCCTAGCCTTCTTCACCCTCTCCATCTACCCCGACCTCTGCTCTTCCCTGGTCATCACCGCACCCCTTCAGCACCCCTTCGCGCGGAACGGCCAGTCACTCTTTGCCTTGGAATAGCAGGAACGTCCCCTCTGGAATGCCTCTCCCCGACCCCCGCCCCAAGCGACTGAAAAAGGAAACATGCGCACTTCAGAGCTAGGAGCTGTCCGAGTGCTGAAATTTATAGGCTCGGTAAGATCACGTCTCCGTCTTTCTGTAGCCCTCATTCCAGCACAGGATTTCAGCAATTTTGCCCTCTTCTTCCTACCCACTCCAGCACGCAGAGTCCTTTCTTCTCCCTCGTTTACAACTTCTTTTAAAAAGAGAACATTTTCTAGAGAAAAGGGATTTGCTAAATAGAAAGGACATAAAACAAAAGCTACAGCAACCCGACTTCCAGCATGGCATTGTCACCAGCCCCCTTTGCATGGTGATGCGATTAAGGTAGCAGCATTTTTATTATTCAGGAAAAGCAGCTGGGGGATCCATCAGTTCTAAGGCTTTGTCTTTCCTAGGTTAACTGATGGTCCTAAGCCCCCGTTTGACCTGACCATGATGCCCAGTACTGGCACTTTTTGTTTTTTCTCAGCAAACTGTACAAACCCAAATCTCTTTTTGATTTTCAAGGAAACTAGATTCCTGCCAGATTTTGAGTCTGGACAATAAATAGATACTTTGTCCTAGCTTCTTTCTGGAATCATTTCGGGAATATTTTCCACAAGCATCACAGATACAGGAATGAACCGGCAGCTAGTGAACATTCTGACAGCCTTGTTTGCATTTTTCTTAGAGACAAACCACTTCAGGTAGGTGAAACGACTTTGCATGCTGGTATTTTCCACATGAAAACTGTTTGAAAGAGAACGTGTCATGCAATTTTTATCTATTTCTCTATGTCCCAGACCACACTATGTTAATTTTATAAAGGAGAGTTAAGAGTTCTTTTGTTCTTTTAAAAAGCTTAATTATGGTGGGAAGGTGGTAAATTTTTACAAAGGCAAGTTTTATGATGCATAACCCCACTCTGTGCATTTCAACGTATTTTCACAGCCAATGTGATATTAAGATACTCTGATGAGTTGCATGCTCTTTACATTTCTATATAATGGTGATTTTTTTTTCTTTTTTGCTTTCAAATTCTTCTGTAAGTCATTTAAAGGGATTATTGAATGCAGTGCTTTTCATATGGTGGAAGTGATTGAATTAATTTGCCAGGAGCATGCTCATTTTATGTAAAATATAAAAGAACCCAAATTCTTAGCTAACTTGGGACTTCTATTGTATTTCAGCAACTAGATGCATACTATGAGAACTACAATTCAGGAAATTTCTTGAAATACCAAAAACATTTAAAATCTCATTTTACCACTGTACTGCTGTTCAATATATTTAGAAATGTACTGCCTATCAAAACTGAATTAATATGACACTTCTGTGTTCATGCATGCATGAGAAATGGATTATGCATAATTTTAAAAAGTGACAAATCACTATTTGCATGCTTGCATTTTCTACTTAATTTACAAATCATCTAATCAATTGATACCTCAAAATACCAGATTATTACCAGCAAGTGAAATAGCCATCCTAATGGCTAAGAGGTTCTAAGACAAGATAGAGATAAGAGATGTTCATACAACAAAGTGTAGGACTCTTCATTTAATTTTCACCACATTTTACGGTATTTTTTCACAGAACCAAGAGAAATGGAACATATAGCAATAATCCTATGAGTACTGGGAAAACCCACTATGTTCCTTTCAGGTTCACACCTCCTACTATGATTAAGAAAAACTGTAGGCTGGGTTTTATTAGAATCACCATCATCATCTTCATCACCACCACCATCACCATTATAATCAAATAATACTTGATTAATCAGATGAATCTGCATATGGGAATGTGAGTATTTCTAGGTGACTGTATCAATTCTTAACTCTTACCAAATGTTTATATCATCTTTGTACTTATATTTAATATTACTTCTTTGAAAAACCGGCAAGAATGTGGTATTTTCCTAGTGATAAGAATTAACAATATTATTTGTCAACATACTGAAAAGAAAGCTTGTAAAATATATACTTTACGGAAGAAATCAACATTCAGTCAACCACTATGTATTGTCAAAGAATTCATCTCACTATAAACCATATATGCTCTTTTTATAAGCCTTTTAAGGAAAATGGAAGTCTGAGAAATTTTCCAATTACCATTTAGTGTTTTTGATAATGCAAAAGACAAAATGCTTTAGAAGTTCTTTTTCATGAATACTAGAGAGTCAACAATTTAAATGCTAATATATAAATAACAGCTGATAAAATGATAGAAGTACAGACGTGCTCATTGTTGACCTATTTTAAAATGAAGTTAAATTTCCAAGTGAAGATTTTCTTTTAGAAAACACATTGGAAATTATTAATAGCTGAAAGCTGGAATAGAATCTAGCAGGTGACAAAATAAGCAACGGGATGCTTAGTTCACGATTTACTTTGTTCTGCCCATCTTATTATGTATTTTTTATAAAAAGTAGAGGACATATTAAGGGCCGAAATGCTGGAAGAATGTTTTGGAAGTCATGTGGAAATAATTTAACACAATCACATAAATTTTAGAAATTATCTTCATTTCTCTGATGACACTAGAAAGAAACAGCTTTGTATATCTGTAAAACCTACAACCTAAAGCTATGCATGTTGTATCATCTTAAACATCTTACGGCAAAGTTTGGTAACTTAGGAGATATGACTCAGGATTTATACCTTTCATCACTTAAAGTTAACTCTAGACCATGTACAAGTTAGGAAGTTGACCAAAGAGTTTATAATTTTCCTTTTCTTCTTCTTAACATATCAAATATATTTACAAAACATGATGTCAAACATTCTGTGAGCATTAGTTCTCAGGTGATAAGAATGTAATTGTTGCTAAAAGAGTTAATGATGTGTTTAGGGCAGCTTTCTGCAAAGACCATGACTCCAGGTCTGGAAAACAACCTTCGCAGACCCTATCTCCTTCAGATTTCTTGGACAAATTAATGGGAAGGACATCAGGATATGATGCAAGAATCAGGCCAAATTTTAAAGGTAGGTTTCACTGAAACTTACCTTAATTAAGCCTGTGGGAAATCTAGATGTTTGAATACTCTGAAAAATTTTTTTCAGGGCTTTTTATTACAAAACGAAAACAACAAGCATAGTATTCATTTCATTTTGGCATTCTTTGGAACTAGTTGATTTAATAGCTTAAATTTTACATGTTGCTTGCCACTTTCAAAAACTTTCCTCATTTGTGTTACGTTGCACAAAGAAAACTAACGTCAGAGATTATTGACACATTTCCTATGTTATCTAAAGTGGGAGTGGGACTGGAAATGAATACAAGAACAAATGATGCACTTGATTTGTACGAATCGTTCCACCAAAATCTTTGGTTTGGGTTTTAAATACGTACTCCCAAAATGAAGTTTACATCTCAATATATAACATGCCCTTTTATACACTTTCAGGCCTCTCTCATTTTTAAACCTTGTGAGAAAAGGCTCTAAATGAATATATTACAAAGTTTTGGTTTCCTCCTGTTTAAACATTCTAATTCTTTATTTGAAATTATTTATCTGAAGTTAACAAAGAAGATCATAGAATTGTAAAGTGCGTATGTCAAAGATGGTGGATACTTTCTTTGTTCAATTAGAAACAAACCAAAAAGTTTGGTGTTTTTGTATGTTTAACATTACAAAAATGTAATTAATAGAAATTACTTCTTAGAAATTACCTTTTATCTATTTGATTTATTTTTACTCTGAATCAGAAAAATACTGAAATAAGAAAGAACCTATTAATTGAATTGTTTTTGATGTTTTAATTTTTAGATACATATTTTAAATAAATGCATTTTATCTTGTAATTTAACTTAAAATAACGCATTGTGAAGTGCTTATATTTTATAAAAGGATAAATCTACAATATTCTAGGTATTATGTCATAATTCATGCATCGCTTTGGTTTTGCTTATTAGCTATTTAATTGGATTGCTTTCCTTGAGGTTTGATTAATTTTTATTATTGGCAAATATGAGCATGAAAACTAAATTCAAAATTCTTTTCTTCTTTAAATGCTGCACCTCTGAATATACCCAGCTAAGGGCACATTTCATAAAGAAACATGTCAGAATTTTGACCAAACACATGTTTTTGACTTATAGAGTATTTCCAAAAGAGACAACAGAACTTAGTTCAAAAGCTAATTGCTGAAAACAATTTTCATGTTTGCCCAATTTCATATTAATTTTGTGGTCAATGGAAGTCAATATTTGAAATAAAATCCTATGAGTAAGTATTCGAGAGTCGGCTTTTTCAATGGGCCTGCTCACTTGTACATTTATTCACTGAGCCATTCAATAACTTTTGAGTCTGAACTACATAAAGGATGCTAACTACTGCATGCTTTGAAAACTTGAGAGTTGAAACAGGTTTGGATGCTACCATCAAAAATTTCATTGGACAGAGTAGATGTTACATGAATACTTATACAATAATATATAGTACTAGACAGAAAGAGTTAAGTAGTTAATGGTTAAGTAACATTAGGAAGTACAGCTAAAATACTACAGGACTCCAACAAAAGCAGAGACGCTTTCCTATTAAGCTATTCATGGAAAGCTTCATAGAGAAGGACCAGAGATGGAAAATTGTTTCAAGTTTATGAGCATCTTGTTTAATAGCAGCTATTATTCATTATTTTCTAGAAATAAGTTTTTTAAAGGGAAGAAAAGTGCAAAGAGTAATAAAACAAACACCCATGTTGCCAATGCTACTTTAAGTGACCACATAGGATGAGCAATAATTTCCACACACAGCTTTTTTTTCTGGTTCTTCTGGGGATGTCACCCTTTGGAAATAACATTTCTCATGATTCTAAAGAATAAATAAATGAGGAGAATATCAAGCATAGCAAAGCATGGCCATGTTTTTGAGATCTGTCCTAAAGACCTGAGTACAGGATGTTTAAAGACTTATAAAAGGGAAATGGGTGAATATAATTTAAGACTCTAACGTTAATGAACTGTACTGACTTTTGGCTCCCTCTTCCCTCAACTCTCCGATTCAATGAACCCTGATATTCTTTCATAACTTTTACTTACATGGACCATTTATATCAGATCAATTACCTAACAGCTCTCACAATTCTCTTTACTGTGAGGATCTTGGCTTTTCCTAGATGTAAAACATTCCCCATTATTTTAGACTAAAATGATTTTTCCTCCTTGGTGTTCCCATGAAACTTTCTAAGTCTAATATAGTTCTTTTGCATATTTATGTTTTATCAACTCACCCCCGCACCACATCTGAGAGGGCAGGGAGGTACCTTATTTATATATATATAATATTATATATATATAGTTTATATATATAATATTATATATAGTTTCAGGTGTACAGCATACTGACTCAGGGTTTTTTTTTTTTTGCAGATTATATTCCATTAGAGGTTATTACGACATATTGGGAAGGGGTGGGAACTTTTGAGGGATGAACCAGTGGTCGTAGTGGCTGGCTAGCAAAGATGATTTTAGCTGAGCTGAGGAGAAAGAAATAAAAGAAAGAGATAACAGGGAACTTGTAACGGCAAAGAGACTAGGAAGACTACAGTACTTACTGCAGTTGATTAGCAATGTATCGATGATAAATTTTATAGAGTAGGTAGAAATGGAAGGTGATTAGGAAATGTGATTGTATCTGGAAGGGTGATAGGCTCCCTGTAAATGCCAAAAACCAAACTGACTATGCTAACAATAAACGTGGTGATGATGATGACAATGATATTGAAAATAACAATAGTGGTGATTAAGAAGAAGACAGAAGGGCAAAATTTGACCACAAGTATATAAGCAAGAGCCCAATATGGGCTGTTGAGATAAAGGCTATGGCTTTTCTAGAAGTCTTATTAAATATTAGCACATTTCTCTGTTTTCCTTGCTGCCATGCAGTGGCAAGGGAAAAGAAATGTATATGCACAATTTTTCTTACTGGAAGGAATTTTTCCTGCATCCTTTCAAGTCAGTAAAGTATTTCATGTCTATTCCATATCCCTGATGGGCTCTGAAAAATGTCATAATGGGCATATATACAAGAAGGAAGATGGATGTAAGCTAGAAAAGGGAACCAGAAATGATTCAGACTTAGACTCTGTAATTGAGAGTCATTCTTAGAAACTATAGGGAAAAAATAGCTTTTCTGATGTGCTGAAGCACAAGTGTATAAACAAAGTCGTGAGTCAGAGTTGCCAATTGCATTCCATCTATGAGAGCCATAGAGACTTGGATCAGACCTCGTCAAAACATAAATTTTCAAAATCCTCAGTTCAGATAAAAACACAAGCTATGTCCATTCACAATTACCTGTTTCTGAAACCATGGTAAATGTTGGTTCTATGTCAACAGGGAAGCCTCCTTCCCCACTTGGGTGATTTGTCTCGTTGTCAGTTGATTCATCATGGTGTTATTCCATCATCCTAACAGATATTCCTTTGTCAGTATTACTGTATCTTGAAAATGCCACTTTAAACATTAAGCTTTTAAAGAAGCCAAATGAAATGCTCAAACCTGGGCAAAATGCATTAGTTCTGATTCTCTCTCTTTGAAACAAAGCCTTTATCTATTTTAATGAAATTTTCTTTGAAAAGAAAATTAACTTAGAGTTATATCCTAAGTTTCATCCCAATGTGAATAAATACATTTCACCAGAACATTCATTTTGGGATAGGATCTGGAATAGATAATGCCAGGAGATAATTATTCCCTCCACTTCTTTGTGCAGGCCACGCACACTAATCTTTCTTCCATATCCGGAGACCTAAATTTTAAAGTGTGATGTGTGATATTAAAACCTACATTTGCATGCAGTATGGTTTCCTTTATTTTCCAAGGAGTTATCAGCTCAAAAGGTGTTTCAGATATAAGTAAGAAACAGATCCACTTCCAAAAAACTAGAGGTCTTCATGTTTCTCCCCTTGGAAAGTTTCTTGTCTGTAGCCAAGTGGAGCTCAAGCTCATGTGTTGTGCTTACCAGTCCCTGGAGGGGTGACTTGAGCCCAAATGTCCAGCAGAGACACTTGGAAAGAGTGATTCTCTCAGTTGGTGATAATGTAGCCCTAGTGTGGTCATTTCTTTGATAACTCTGGCAGATGCGGGCATCAGATATTACCACGGGTTCTGAGAAAAAGAACAGAATGCTTACAAGTCTCAGAAGTTTTTTTTTTTTTTTTGCAGAAGTATTTGACTTGAGTGCAGAAAGTAGTGGAAACCTTGAGGCACCTGAAAGGGTACAGTCATTTTATATAGAATAAGACAATAGGAGATAAAGGGGGGAAGTGATTACTGAAAGAAAAAGCTGCGTGTATCAAAGAGAAATTTATATATGACAGTTTTGTTCAGGGATGATGTTGATGAAGATTTTTGAATATCCAAAATCCACTGGCTGTGTCACAATTTATTTTAGCTTTTGTGTACTATATGTATACCAATCAACACATTTGTATATACTAGGCTGCTATGATGGGCCTGCAAGTTGCTTGTCAGAGATTTGAGGTAACATCAAGAAGGAGGCACCTACAGCATTCTAACACACTCTGGTAAAGTCTATTCCAAAGGATAAGTTCATTTATTGGAGTACGTCTTCCATTCCATGGTGACAGAGTAGTAGAGTGGGAGGGGCCTTGGACTTGGATCCAGAAAACCCAGGTTCATGTCCTGGTTCAGCCACTTTGGAGAAAAGATGTGTCCACCTCTCCATGACTCAGGTTTTCTTCTGACTTTGCCCACCTCATTTGGGTTGTTCTGAGCATCAAATGAGATCATACATCTGAATGATTTGTTTCCAACTATTAAAATTATTACAAATAATTTGAATTATTATTACTAGTCTTCTATTTCTCTTTGATAACTGACACTGACTATGTATTCTCTTAGCCTTCATGGTGATTGGGTCCCTAAAGTTGTTTGAATTTTTTTTAATGGAAAAAAACGAGTCAAAGAAGTTCTAGCATTTTAGAGTCCTACCACAGTAACCAGGATGTAGATGTCACAT